GAGGCTGCCGCGGGGCCGGCTGGGAAGGCGGACTCTGCGTGCGAGCGGCGCTAGCGGCCCGGGGCTCCCGGGGGTGCGTCACGCAGGGCCGTCCTGGGCCATGCTTCTGTTCTGCCCGAGCTGCGGGAACGGGCTGATCGTGGAGGAGGGTCAGCGCTGCCACCGCTTCGCCTGCAACACCTGCCCCTACGTGCACAACGTCACTCGCAAGGTGGGCTCCGCCTCGGAATGCGGCCGGTCCTCCGATTGACCGCAGCGACGTTCGCGAACTCGCCGCCGGGCGGGCCGCTTCCGACAGTCTCGCTGGACCTAGGACCCCCGCGCGCTTGCAGGAAAGCCAGAGCTCCCTGCCCTGCCCCTTCACGTCTGCTTCTCTGCCTGCAAGCCCGGCGGGGCCCCGGCGTCCCCGGCCGCCCGGAGGGCTCCCTCTGTGCTCCCGAAGTGCACGTGGCGCTTCCTGGGCCTTTGCTGGTGTTGGGTGCCGCGTTCTCCCTTCCCTGCGCAGCCGCGTACTCTACGTAGTGGTTAGAGCAAACCAGGGCTGGCAAGTGGGGTAAACCGGAGGACTCCCACGTGTCTGACCCGGGTTGGAGTTCCAGACCTGGTGGACTGAAAATCATGCAGTGCATGCCCAGAATCCCAGGAGAGAGGACTGTGGAGAGGGGGTCATTTCTCTTAACCTCTCACCATCTGTCTCTGGCGAGGGCTTGGCCCTATGTCAAAATTCTTAAAAAATATATATATATATAGCCACCCCTTCCAGCGTATCCTCCTACGCTGGTTTACATTTTCCCCAGCGCTCACTTCTACTGTGTAATGAACTTGGGCTCTGTCACTTCTCGGCGTGAGCCCATGGGGCAGGGTCTGTTTCGCTCCTTCTGTCGGAGTCTGCACACCTGGAAGGAACCTAGAATGCAGTGAGTGTTCGGAGAGAATGATGGGTGTGTATTATAGCTTGTTATTTTCTCTTTTAATACAGAGTAGCTTTGCCTTTTAGAAGTTAGAGCACTTGGGGATCAGCAGTTAGCATAATGGCTATGTCGCTGGATTCCCACGTAGTCGACCGCGGTTCACGTCCCGTACCCGGTGGCTTAAAACTCATGCTGGGCGCGTGTGCGTGCGTGCCCAAGATCCCGAGAGGAGAATGGAGAAGGGATTGCGGTGTGGCCATCCCCCCTGGGGGTGATTTCTCGCTTTCTGTCTGTCTCTCTCTGTCTTCCTGGTGAATGCATGTGCCCTATAGCAAAAAATCTCTCCCCCCCCAAAAAAAAGGAAAGAAGGAAAGGGAGAAGCCATAGTCTCCCCAGGAGAATGGCCATGCCACATTCCCTTCTTCATTCTCTAACTGGGATTTTGGGCACGCACACACACATGTGCCTGGCATGGTTTTCAAGCTGCCATATCTGAGACTCACACTGGGGTTGACTGTGTGAGAACCCACTGTGCCATTTTCTGGCCCTGTTACTTCTTTAATCCATCTGTTCATTTATTTTATTTATTATTATTTAAGTTTGCCCTAGGGCACATGCACTACCCAGAGAGAGATAGGAAGAGAGGGAAAGTGAGAAAGCAATGCACCAAGTCTGGGACTCAAACTGCATTCGGCCAAGTGCCAGTCCAGTCCCTGAACCACCATGCCACCTGCTGGCTCCTTTTTATTACCCCCCCCCCACACAAACCATTAAAAAGCAAGACAATAAACTGCATTGAAAAGTAAGTGTATTTAACTATACTCAGCTCATAATACAACAAATAGGTGAACAGAATAATAATTCATGACATACAACATGTTTAATGAACTGGTAACAGAAAAATTTGGTCAAAGAAAGGCAGAAGAACTTTGTTCTTTAAGAATTAGAACTGAGGGGCTCCATAACCATCTGGTATCCGCTCAGTGTGTCTGTGGTTAGGAATGTACATGACAGGGACTCCTGGGATCTTCCGGAGTCTTTGGCTTCTTCAGTGAAGGCCTGGGTCAGCCGTAGCCACAGCTAAACCTAACCCTAACATTGACCCTAACCCCGACCCTAACCCTGACCCGAGCTCCGAGCTCCTTTCCATACAAAGCAGTCGGCTGCATAGGGTCCTGTGTGTGCATGGTCTTCGTTCAAGTCTTGTCCTTGGTACTTCTGCCCCCGTCTCTGCGTCTCGGCCATTACAGTCAGGTGTACAGGGACACACTTGGCATGCAACTGGTCCTCACTGACGGCACAAGTCCAGTGTGGGTCTAATGGAAAAGCTGGTGAAGTTGGGTTCAACCGGGATGTGGTAAGGTGGACCCAGATGTGCATTATATTGAAAGAATAAGCAGGAAGGGTGTTGGGGGATGTCTCTTTCCTTTAGCGTGCTAGCATCTTTCTTTTCTTTATTTTCATTTTTTTAAAAATATTTATTTAATTCCACCTGTTATTTTTTGGAGAGGTGTTTTTTTTTTTTTTTTTCCTTTTGCTATAGGACACGTGTGCTTGCCAGAAAGACAGAGACAGAAAGCGAGAAACACCCCCCAGGGGGGATGGCCACGCCGCAATCCCTTCTCCCCCATTTGGGATTTTGGGCACACACGCACACGTGCCTCGTGTGAGTTTAAGCCACTGGGTCCGGGACCCAAACCTCAGTCAACTACATGGGAGTCCAGCGACATAGCCATTACGCCAACTGCTGGTTCTTGTTATTAATTTAATTTGACTAGAGAGAGAGAGAGAGAGAAAGAAAGGGAAAGTGAGGAAGCAAGCTGCCAGGTCTGAGACTCAAACCATAGTCGGCCTTGTGGGAATCCAGCGCCCTTAGCCACCATGCCACCTTGCCAGCCCCTCTTTTAGGTTTTAGTCTGCCCGTTTCTGTAAGCCTTTGATCTCTGAGGCTAATCATTCGCTCCCGGGTCTCATGCCTCCTTGTTTCCTTTTGTTTCCTGGTACTCTTGCTCACGCCACACTCTTGTTTCTTCCGGAATCCCCAACTGTGCGATGCTTTCACGTCACCGCTTCTGGCAAAGGCCACTAGTATTCCATTCTTAAGGCTTGTGTAACCCACTTCACAGCTGTGTTGTGGCTGAGTCTGAGACTGTGTTAAGAGGCAACTCTTTTTTTTTCATTTTGCTATAGGTTGTATGTGTTTACTGGAGGTGGGGGATGAGAAAGCACCCTCCCCCCCCATGGGGGATGACAGTGCCGTAACCCTTACATTCTTCTCTCAGGATTTTGGTCACACACACACACACACACACACACGCTTAGTGTGTTTTTCAAACCTCTGGTCTGGGACTCGAACTGTGCAGTTGGCCATGTGGAAATCCAGTTGCCTCAACCACCATGTCACCTGGCTGGCCACAGCTCTGGGGTGAAAAACTTGGCCAAGGAGCCAAGTGTGACCTGCTTTGAAAGCTCTGTCTGGGTGTTCAGTCAGGTGAGTGGTACCGTTGGCCTCAGCTGTATTCGTGCCCTCCATCTTGGGTAATCAGGGAAGAGGAGGGACATACCTAAGTTGTTCTTTTTTCCTGGCATGTGGCCGACAGCCGAGTCTCTTCTCTTTGAAGAAGTCTCAGACGGGGACCCTCCAAATTCCGAAGGAGCTGCTGTGCTGTGAGAGCAGCAGCTTTGGTCTCCTTGGGACCCTCCACAGGAGGAGAGTCCAGAGGGCACTTTGGTGGGCCATGTTTGTGCCCTTTGCTTCTTTGCCTTTGTTTGCAGGTGACAAACCGGAAGTATCCAAAGCTGAAGGAAGTGGATGATGTGCTTGGGGGTGCAGCTGCCTGGGAGAACGTGGACTCCACTGCAGGTGAGAGGGAGCCCTGCCTGCCCCTGAGCTGAGGGTGACCGAGGCTGCCTGCAGTGCTGCTCGGGTCAGAGCGCCGATGGCTTCTAGAAAGAGACGGGGTTCCTTCCTAGTAGTTTATTTGTATTTGCTATTTTTTTTTTAATGTTTTTTGCTATGGGGCACGTGCGCTCGCCAGAAAGACAGAGAGAGACAGAGAGACAAAGCGAGAAATCACCCCCCAGGGGGGATGGCCACGCCGCAATCCCTTCTCCTCCATTCTTCTCTCGGGATCTTGGGCACGCACGCACATGCGCCTGGTGTGAATTTAAGCCACCGGGTCCGGGACTCGAACCGTGGTCAGCTATATCAGAGTCCAGCAACATAGCCATTACGTCAACTGCTGGTCCCTGTATTTGCTGTGTAATAACTTGTTATAGGGACAATCTTGGTCCTAACCGTAGACTTGTACAGACCTGGATTGGACTCTCAGAGCAATTGCTCATTGTCCTCGGACCTTAGTTGGGCTTTTGTCCTCTCTGGGGCACTCAGATTTTTTTTTTTTTTTTTGGAGAGGTTTTCGCTATAGGGCGCGTGTGCTCGCCAGACAGAGAGAGACATAGAGACAGAAAGCGAGAAATCACCCCCCAGAGGGGATGGTCATGCCGCAATCCCTTCTCCTCCATTCTCCTCTCGGGATCTTGGGCATGCACACACACACGCCCGGCGTGAGAGTCAAGCCACTGGGTCCGAGACGCGAACCACGGTCGACTACGTGGGAGTCCAGCGACATAGCCATTATGCTAACTGCTGGTTCCCAGGGGGCACTCAGATTTGTGAGAGCACAAAGCAACTTCTGTGGTGCTAGGTGTGTGACAGGTATTAAGGTGGTAGCTCTGGGGGCTGGTAGGTGGTGTGGTGGTTAAGGGTGCTGGACTTCCACATTACCGACCAAGGCTTGAGTCTCGGACTTGGCAACTTGCATTCTTGCTTTCTCCCTCTCTCTCTTGCTCTTGCTCCTGCTCCATCCCTCTCTGGTCTAATTAAAATAAATAAATGAATGAAGTTAAATAAAATAATTCCTTAAAAGAAAAGGTGATAGCTCTGATGACAATGCCATGAAATATATATATATAATATATATGTTATATATTTACTAATTTATGTTTTTTAGAGATTTTTGCTATAGGGTGCATATGTTTGCCAGAGAGACAGAGAAAGACAGAAAGTGAGAAATCACTTCCCCTAGGAGGGATGGCCACCTTGCAATCCTTTTTACTCTATTTTCCTCTTGGGATTTTGGGCACAACTTT